CACCCCTGAAAAATGAAAAACCAACAACACATACAAAACATAACAAAAAACACGTGCCTTTATGACAGTTAAAAATGTTTTCCATCAGGTCATTATCCACCTGTCAAGTGTGTTTCTGCAGTTTCCATTCATCGTGGAATGGCTCTATTTTTGCACAAATGAATTTCGGTAAATTTGTCCGTCTTTCTCTCCTTGGGGTTGTCAAAAGTACTCACTTGTTGTGCCCAGCGCAAGTCTATGGACCAATATTTTCTAAACCAGTCCCCTGTTGGTGTATAGAGTAATGCTTTGGTCTCTCTGTACAAGCAAATTTCGATTAACTTTAGGTCTTCTTTTGATGAAAGGCCACTGGTTTTGAGCTTCAGAATGATGAGACTTGATATAAATATAAGTTTGTGTGTGTGTGTGTGTGTGTTGTTTTTTTTGTATGTGTGTGTGTGTTTGTGTGTGTGTGTGTGTGTGTGTGTGTGCGTGTGTGTGTGTGTGTGTGTGTGTGAAAACATGGAGGACGACTGAGTGCCCTAGTCATTACCCAGTCGTGCGCTGTATGTATTTGGTTCTCACAAAGAGCTACTTGGGTCCGGGCCCTTTTTCCTGCAGAAAAACAGTTGCTTGAATTTCAGTACATTGTATTGTGTTATATACTTTTTTATCTCCTTGATAATCTCAATTCAGATATGGTAGGTAACATGGTGGAGACCTCTTGGTCAACATTCTTGGGGCATTAAAAAAACCAAAAACAGCTTGTGTACAGGTAATGCACATTTTTTATCTGCCCACTGTGCTTTGGAGATCTCAGCTTTATGTCAGGGAAGTTATTGAGCAATGAGGAACATCAAAACGTGAATAGAGACTGGTTTTACAGTTCTTGTTTCAAGGGAAAAATTATTTGTCCTGAGTTGGTTCTTAACATAACAGCATCAGGGTATGGGGGTGGTATTCCATATTTTGGGAGGTTTTGCCGCAGCTCGTAAGGCGATTGAAAAAAAAGTCTTCTCTTTGCACCCAGAATTAACCGTACTACTATATCCCTGTGTTCTGTAGAACTTCTGTGTTTTTGTTGGACTAAATCCTGTGTTATCACGACTGGATTTTTTAAAGGGGTTTCAAAACGATTTACATCAAGACTCGGAAAATGAAGTTGGTACGAGATAGGCCTCAGCTCACAGTACTGTCGTTTTATGTCTCAAATGTGCGACTCGCAAGGTGTGAAAAATTTCTTGGCCAGTATGCAGGATGTAGTGGAAGCAGCGGCTGTCCTATAGTTTCTGTGTGGTGCGTGCTCGTCTTTCTTAACCCTATCCGTACACCCTGGGGTCATTTTGTACCCCCAGGTTTGTATTCTTCGCATCTTAGGAGACTTCTAGTACGAAGATCTCTTTGAAACTTTCAGTATTTCTCAAAAAAATCGTTTTGACAGACTGCTATGCAAAGCGTACGGATCGGATTATCGAGTAAATTTCCTCTTTGGAAAGTGAGGGCACAGAGTTCCCCACGTCGTATGGATACGATAGTAAAACACGACGTACGGATAGGGTTAATGACTCTGAGTTAATTGACTGGACGTGCGACTGATTATTGATAGGCTCTGACAATTATTATTGACCGACAAACGCTTCTTGTATTGTTGCAACCAGGCAGTCTATCAACCAACCGGAGTGCAGCCCACTGCCCTGTGCTATATTTAAACATCGAGAATTTGTTTTGTTTTTTATTTCATAACTTGCAACTTTTTACCCCCGCGCGCGATGATGATGATGATGATGATGATGATGACGATGATGATGATGACGATGACGATGATGATGTGTGGTTCTTCTTCTTGTTAATGAAGATGCCTGCCTACTCTACAGCAATATTTTTCAAAGATTTTATGCAGATTGTATTGATTGATTGATTGATTGATTGATTGATTGACTCATCCAATGTTTTTTGGCTTTTTTAAAAATGTAGTTTTCATTTACAGATTGTTTCCGACTAACCAATGAACCCGGGCCTTTATGCAGAGCAGCTTCTGGAACCCTAACTTTCTGTTTTTTTGTGATATCAAATTATGATATTTTTGTTTCTTAGAATTGTATATTTGTTTTTACCAAGTCGTTTGTACTCCTGTGTGTGTCTGTCTGCATGAAGAACTGTACATTGATTCACCAAGTCGTTTGTTACAGTACTCCTGTTTGTGTCTGAGTGAGTGTGTGTGTGTATGTGAAAATGTGTGTGTGTGTGTGTGTGTGTGTGTGTGTGTGTTTGTGTGTGTGTGTGTGTGTGTGTCCGTGTGTGTGTCCGTGTGTGTGTCCGTGTGTGTGCATGAAGAACTGTACTTTGTTTTTCCAAGTCATT